CATCGTCTCGCGGCATACGGCTTGCCGTATGGTCACCCGTGCTCCAAGAGGATAGCGATATCGTCGTTATTGCAGTATTTCCGAGTATGCGAAGACTGTTTCCCGCCGTTTCGCCGTCGTCGTCGTCGTCGTCGTCGCCGCCGTCGTCGGACGAACAGTGTTCGCGTCGATTGTCATCACCGCCGACTATAGCTGATTGTCACGCGTATCACAGTGCACCGTTGTCGACAAAATAAACTCGGATTCTGTGAACATTTACAATCTGTCGTCGCCTGTTTGAATTCACTTATTCGATCCCAGAGATTTATATTCAACCGGCAGCACACTTTTTTCATTTTGCCTCGTTCTGAAACTTGTGTAAAACGTAAGTCAGTCCATGAGTTTTTTCTCTCCTTTATCGTTAGTGTGATTGGGTTTTTTTTTAACAGTATTATGAAAATGTCATATGATCACTTTGTATTAATTGATAGAATTAAGACTGGAAAGGGCTGTCATATCGGTATTATTTATATTATGTTTCTTCTACTTGCGTTGCTTTATTCTGATAATTTTATTGTTTGTACTAAACTAAATATCTCGTTGGAGTAGGAACATATTGCATAAATAAAATTTATTAGAATGTAAAGAATACAGGGCGATTTGAAAGTATTATAATTTTTGTTTTTAATAAGCACTGTTACTACCTATTATGAAATAGTTAAACATACAATTTTTTTTTTTTTCAGATAAAATAGGAGTTCTTGTTATGCTGTTAATCCTTATACTTGGATGAACTTTTTATGTGTGTATGTTAACCTGAAATGTGTTTTTCAGTATATAAGTTAGAAAAAAGTAGAAGTAATTCTAAAAAATGATGATAAATATTATGCTATGAGAGAGTATATCTTGGACATTGACAAACAGGAGAATCTACTAAACATATACCAAGTGAGGCACCATAGTGCCAAGCTTGGGTAATGGATCCCGTTGGTCCATGGTATACGTCATATAATCGTCTAACTGTGAGTAGCTCCACTGGAACGTTTCAAACAACATCAACTACAACTAGTGATTTTGTACCTCATCATTTAACAACAGCTGTTGCGCAGGCAGTACCATCAACAACGACGTCACAATTACTTTTACAAGCAGCTCATACGACAGCAACTCTGGCAGGTCAACCGTCTCCCTTTAACCCAGGGGGATTTCTATCTCCACCTCCTGTGAGTTATGAAGTCTTTACACCTTTGTTTCATCCTAATACTAAGCAGGCACACTATGTTACTCAACACAGACAAGTACTTGCTCAGGCACAAGCAGTGACAAAACAGAACACCACAACCGAATCCGATATCTCTACGTTGAGAGAGAATTATAGCTCGACTCATCAAGCTACATTTTTCGAGCAACATGGAGCGTCGACGTCGCCTACGACATCAACGTTAGCCTGGACGTCTCAGAACAATACGCAACTTCCTAGCCCATTTGGCATTTTACCACACGAAAGCGTTGTTCCATCGTCTCCAGGTCCACCTTCTACAAAATCTAGTAGTATTGGCTATGAAAACACATTTAATACTCATTTTAATACGACACAGACCTTAAACAATATAAGTGCGTCTCAAATAACCACTCCTTCTGCGTGCAACACAGATTTTAAAGCATCCAGCTGTTCAACTGACACAAAAAAGTCTATCAGTGTGAGATCTCAATCGCCTACCGTTAGCATAAAATCCACGTTGCAAGTCAGCAATAGTCAAACATTCTTTCATCAAGTTCCAACCTTTAGTTCTGACACCTTGACTGATAGTTATCCAGGCGCTGGTAATGGAGGTCAGTCCGCCACTGAAAATGAAAAAGTTGAACCATCACTACATCAGCAATCGTGTATTGTATCAACACCGAGCAATTCTTCTGGCAAAGAATATAGAATATCACAACCGTCCTCGAGATCGACCACGACGATTTTTTTAAATGCTCCAGTTCGGTCAGGTTCCACACAAGTAATTCAGGATAAACAGGAAACACGCAATGGCAATTTTGCATCGCCATCAAATAAAACTGCGACCACTACCGCGACTCAACAGAATATTCAGACCAAAGCACAGACCAAGATTTATCCAGACCTAGGGAGTCACGGAATTGAGCACAGACGAAATGAGCAACAGGGACATGACAGTAGTCAATCATCTCCAATTAGTTTCTCCATCATGGAAAGCCGGAACTTAAATTACACTGCAAATAATACTTGCAATAATACCAACAGCAAGCTTACGAACAGTCAGAGGACATCGTCTAATAGCAATTTACAGTCACATTCTCAACAACAGCAGCAGCAACAAACGTTTCATGTTTTGAATCAACAGCAACAGCAACAACAACAACAGCAGCAGCAGCAACAACAACAGCAGCAACAACAACAACAACAGCCGCAGACTCCGACTTATAGACATTATTTGACAGGATCAACAAGCGATGCGGAATATCACCATCCAGGTAGATCCAAGTCTGCTACATCAACGGATTCTGCTTACTCGTCCAATACTTCGACGCAAAATGGACCCGACTGCAATGTCGTTGTTCCACGACGACCAAGTCCTCTGCAGACTCATTCGCAGGCTAGTCCCTTGGGTCATGTACCAAGTCCTGCGTATCCAATGTACAATAGTCCGATGGCGACTATGTCGTCACCATCACCGTTGCAACAACATGAGACTAATGGTAGTCAGTGTACTAATGGTGCATCATATAAAAGTGGAGTCACTCAGCATGTCGCTCCACCGTCACCTTTGGATGTCACTGTTCCCAGACCGGCATCACAGGGACAAGTAGCTTACTCGTCGGTGATCACACGAGCATTAGGCACCACAGAAAATAACAAGACAGCTTACAATACAGAGAATAAAACATACGATAGACAGCAACAACAAGACTTCTCACAAATGCAAAAGCAACAGGTTTGTTGGGAAAATGGTAATCGGCAAACAGCGAACGGCAACAGAAAGTTTTCCGTCTACACTGGTGCAAATACGGCAACCAGTAACGGTATAAATGCACAGAGTTTGCCGGTCCAACAACAAGTACAAAGGCTTATGAATGTATCAACAGATAGGCAGCAATCATATTTTGAATCCAATCAAGTGGCGTTGCAAGATTTAAGCAGCTGTAGGGGAGATCCAATGAGCATCGTAAAGAATCTGCAAACATTGCAACAAGGTCCCTGCTTGCAACAGCATACGACTGTTGCTACCTCGGTTGGTATGATAGAACAACAAAAGCAGATCGAAGAACGGCGAAAAGTCGATAGCGTCAATAAAAAGAGGAAAAATTTGGAAAAGAATGGACATGGTATATCATTACCTAATGAGCTTACAGGCAGCACGACGATGACAGAATATCTCAGTAGGATACCTCCGCCTGCGCATCATAATACGGCGAATCAACAACAGCAAAATGGTTACTTTGAATTCGAACGGTGGAATTTACCGCCACCGACCGCCAAAATGTTTCCCACCGCGTCCAGTGCCTTCGGTTCTCAGCCGTCATTGCACCATTCGAGTAATTTCGTGGGCACTCCAGCTCATCAACATCAATCATTAATGGTATCGCACCATCATGCACCACCACCTATTCCATATTTTCCGGCTTTTCATATTCCCGCAGGTCATCATCCGCATCACTCGCACGAATTTCAATCCTCGGTCGAGATAACGCCAATAGGATTTGGTGATAACATTACGAATCAAAACACTAATTATAATCAAGAGGTCAGAGATGATCAGCCTAAAGTGATTGTTCCTAATATTGAAGAAGAATTAAATTTTCTTCAGCAGGATCAACTGATACAAATAAATAAAGATTTTAAACGGCCCAACAGAGATCCTAATACGGGATTTATGACGAGTTATTTAAAATTTCTGCAAGGTGAAAAAGATCCTTCTCCACCACCTGCCATACGTGGTGGTAGGAAAGCAACTTGGAATAGGTCAAAACCGTATATATCTGTTAAGCCGAGTAAATCTGTGGAAGTTTCGATTAACGGTGAAAGTATTAAATCTCAAGAAAAGCCAGCGTTAATAAAGGAGACACCGATTAAAGAAACACCAGTAATAGATTACGCTAATGATCCTAGGTATTTCCCTCTACCGAAAGAAAGAAAGAAATTAAATTTTGATTCGAGCGACGATGGTTTTACTAGTGACGATGATTTTCCATTTCCTCCTAAGAAAATGGAAAAGAAAGTGCAGAATGTAAATAATACAAACAATATTGAAGTTGTTACTGTAAAATCAGAAGGAAAAGGTAGGAAAGGTCGTCCTATTAAGCCTGGTGGACCTACAGATAGAAAGAGAAGAGCTGCTGCGGCAGCGGCAAAAGCTGCTGCTGCAGCAACGGAAGCAGAGAAAAAGTCTTCAAAGAAAGTTGAAGAAGGTAATATAAATACACATATGTAGTATATAAATTTATGTTAAATTAATAATTATTTGAAGATATATTATTTCACACAGTGGATCCTTTACTTCTTCCTCCAAGACGTGAAACATCGAGAAGAAAGGCAAAAGAGAAAACATCAGTGAAACAATTTTTAGATCGTCAACAGGGTATATATTATTTTGATAACGATGAGGAACAGGTAGATTCCGATTCTGATCCAGCATGGACACCTGCTGTAAAATTGGTTGGCGATGAAGAAGAGAAAAGAAAGAAACGTGTAAGGCCCGTTATTACAAAAAAGATTAGGAAAATGTTAGAAGAGGACGGTTATTCGTCCGGGGAAGCGATTATCTCAAAAAAATTGACGAGAAAGAAGCATGAGATGTTCTCAAAAAATTCTAATAATTCCGGCAAACTTTCTTGTAGAATTGATGAAAAATTAGTAGCGGCGGCAAGCGATGAAGATATTGATATTTCGCCATTTAAGGTATCTAATATGTTCTGCAGAAGCCATTTAGAATATTCTATATTGGTTTGTATGTTGGTACGTATGTATTATATATAGGGCGGTTTAAAAAACCAAAATATTTTTTTCAGCCGCCTTATTGAAACCACTTATTGCTTATGGTTAAAAACAGTTACTATTATTTTTTCAAATTAAAAAAAAAATATGCAGATTTTGCGCAAGTCACATTTGTGATGGAAATTAATGTTTTTCGGTTTTTTATTTTTTTTCTGAAAGGAATGTACACTTTTTGCAAATTCTAACAAGGTAAAATTATGTCTCACCGAGTGTCTCAGGAACTTATTATTGTTCTTAAATTTTTTCAAAATAAAATAAAACTGTTGTGTGTCTATATACACGGTTGAGAGTGTAATTTATTGTATATCTTTAGATTCAGTGAATTGATAAGATTACAAACAAAATTTTTTAATGCATGATTTTTTGTACGTTATGTATTTCCCCGATATTCAGCAAGTATGTGTATATTTGATTGCATACTCGAAGAAAATTTATTTACTGTGTACATAAATTATTATAAAATAAAAAATCGAAAAATTTGATACTGTTTGAATTGAGAGGGTAATTAAATACACTCAAGATCTCTTCAAAGCATTTTTATATTTATACTGTACAGGCTAATAATATTTTACAAGAATTTTTTTTAACAAATTGAAGTAAATATTTTACTTTCATTTGATAAAAAAGTTCTTGTAAAGTTTTTTTTAGAAGAAAACATAAAAAACCGAAAAACATTCATTCTTATCACAAATGCAACTTGTGCGACCTCTGCATATATTTAAAAAAATTTTTTGAAAAAATAAGAGTGACTGTTTTTGACCGTAAGGAATAAGTGATTTCAGTAAGCCGGCTGAAAAAAGATATTTTTTGAATCGTCCACAGTGCGCATTTATGCATGCGCGCTTAATATATATGTATATATATACACATCAGGGTTGGCAAAAGTCTACATTTTTTGGATAAAGTCCATGCCAGTGGTAAAAACCGATATTTTCCGGAAAAAACCGGCAAAAAACCTGGTCTTTTCTATTAAAAATAATCAAATAAATAGATTTGATTATTTTGAGTAAAAATACATTAAGAGGAAGGGCCCTGTATGGGCTTGCTTTGAATCTTGTACAGTTGACAACATTATTGAGCAGAAATGTATTGCTTGTGGAACATTAGTTAGTGGAAAAGCTCCACGACTGAAACAACATCTTCAAAAGTGTAGTAAGTTTGAAAAGAACGATGATGATAATTCAAGTAAAAGTGAATCAGATAGGAAGAGTGAAATGAGTAAATCAAGTAAAAGAAGAGAGATGCATCGATACCGAATCACCTTCATGTTCTTATATTTTAAAGCAGCAGTTTTATAGTTTTTACAGTTTATTATTCCAGTGGATAAACTCCGGACCGGTAAAATCCGGAATTTACCCTGGTTTTTTCCACCCACTGGATTTTTCCTGCCAACCCTGATATACATACATACTTACATATCTATACGAGGGTCGTTTGAAAAGTTTTGAGCCTCAACATTAAGATGGCATTACTCGTCAAAACCATTCTGGTACTACAACTGAACATGTTTTGCAAGATACTTGTGGAAATTGTGGATGCTTAGTTGTTTGACGGTCATTTGTGCCAGTCGATGTCAATGTTTTTGTAAAAATAGAAAAAATCGAATATCGACGATCGCCATTACAAAAATTTGTATCTGTGAAGTTGGCGTATCACTTGGTGGAAACTCATTAAACATGAGTTCTGAGCTTATTTTTGATAGTTCTATAGTTCTATATAAGTTAAACAAATAGTTCCGGCCGTTAAAGCCGAGAAACCAAAACTACTAAATGATACGCCAGGTTCACACATCACTTATTTAAAAAAAGGTTCAAAACCACATTTTCTTGTAGGAATTGAAAAGTTATATAGTTCTGTGAAGAGTTCTGGCGACTAACGTTGTTAATTTAATTTTTAAACAATTTTATTACCTAAAAAATGGCCATTACGAAAAAAAAGATGATACGCTGAGCGATTACCGACAGTTCTGTAGGATATATGGTGTTTATTGTGTAATTCTAAATGTATACTAACTAGTTCCGAGGAGTTCTGGTGACAGAAATTATTTATTGATATTTTAAACAATTGTTAAACCCCGAGAAAGGCCTTTTTCAGGCAACATGTCTGATACGCTGGCCGATTTTCGACAGCTCTGTGCGACATATGATGCTTATCGTGTAGCTCTGAATGTATACTAACTAGTTCCGAGGAGTTCTGGTGACAGAAATTATTTATTGATTTTTTAAACAATTGTTAAACCCCGAGAAAGGCTCTATTCAATACATTCAGAGCTACACAATAAGCATTATATGTGGCATAAAACTGTCGAAAATCGGCCAGCGTATCAGACATGTTGCCTGAAAAAGGCCTTTCTCGGGGTTTAACAATTGTTTAAAATATCAATAAATAATTTCTGTCACCAGAACTCCTCGAAACTAGTTAGTGTACATTTAGAATTACACGATAAACACCACATATCTCACAGAATTGTCGGTAATCGCTCAGTGTATCATCTTTTTTCTCGTAATAGCCATTTTTTAGGTAATAAAATTGTTTAAAAATTAAATTAACAATGTTAGTCGCCAGAACTCTTCACAGAACTATGTAACTTTTCAATTCCTACAAGAAAATGTGGTTTGAACTTTTTTTGGCAAAATAAGTGATGTGTGAACCTGGCATATCATTTTGTAGTTTGGATTTCTCGGCTTTAATGGCCGGAACTATTTGTTTAATTTATAAAGAACTATAGAACTATCGAAAATAAGCTCAGAACTCTTCATGTTTAGTGAGTTTCCACCAAGTAATGCGCCAACTTCACAGACACCAAAATTTTACGAATTGCGGTTCGAATTAATTAACTTCCCACTGTATTGACCAGATTTGATCCCCAACGACTTTTTCCTGTTTCTTAGGTTCAAAATTAGGTTCGGAGGACACAGATTTTCATCAAACGAAAACACTGACATCGACTGGCACAAATAACTCTCAAACAACAACTTAACGTCTAAAATGGCTACAATTTTCACAGGTATCTTGCAAAACATGTACGAATGTAGCACCAGAATAGTTTTGACAAGTAATGCCATCTTCATGTTGAGACTCAAAATTTTTCAAAGGATCCTCGTATAATATGAGCAGACTTTCAAAATGCGTTTTGTCCAAAATTTGTAATTTTTAGAAAACAAGAAAGAAAGATACTACAGACAAGAAAATTACGCACTTTACAGAAAATAACAATATACCAATCAGTAGAATGTAAAATATTAAACAAAATTGCTAAACAATTGCTAAATATGTTAAACAAATGCATTTTGTTTGTTTCTAGTTAAAAAAACAATACACTTCGAAATGTCCTGTTTTTTCAGCATATAAATTAATGATGAAAAAATGCTTTCTGAACTCAAAGTAACTTATAATATGAGTGTTTCAACACTGAACACTGTGCCATCTCTAACTAAAAAAATGAACTTTGGACAAAACGCATTTTGAAAATCTGCTTCTCATATGTTTGTATGTATATATAAATTATATATATAAATTATATATGTATGCATGTGTGGATGTGTATATGCATATTAAATATGAGTAACAATGAAAATATAAATAAATTAACAGTTTTATTATATATTTTGCATGCAGCATTCGATAGGCTTAGAAGATGCGGTAATCTTTGATATTATTTTAAATTTTTAAGTAAAAAATACTTGTTCATAAAAGTTTATGCATTTTAGGCGATTTGGGAAACACGTAGGGATCGTTGGATTTTTTTTCTTACTCAGTTTTACTTGCTGAATCCGAAAATTATAATTAAAATTGTCTTAGTATCCGGGAAATATTTTTTTTCACAACAGAAGAAAGCAACGATTGATTTTATCACTGATTTTATCATTGATTTTATCATTGATTAATAATGATACAAAAAAATGTTTTAGATGAAAGTGGAACGCCTTCAAGGAGGACGTATTTTGTTGTTTTTCTTCTAGTTGGAGATGCCGAAAAGATATGATAGTCATTTCTGCTTTTTTAAGTGGAAAAAATTATATGATTTCTTTATGTAATATGAAATTCCTCTAATTATTTTGCGTGAAAAAGTATTAAGGTAGATAAAAAAATTAATAGTTTACGAGATATTTTATATTTTATTCTGGCACATATTGACATAAAATGTTAAATATCTCGTAATTTTTTTATAATCGTATCCTCATACTTGTACTATAAACCGAATAATGAGATGAATCAGTTGATATAAAGGAAACACATAGTTGCTTGCTTAAAAAAGTATTCATTTTGTCTATGTTTTGTATATGTTTTTGAAGCAACTATGTGTTTTCTTTATATCAATTGATTCATCTCATTCTTCAGTTCATACAAGTATTAAGGTACGATTATAAAAAAAATTAATAGTTTACGAGATATTTAACACTTTATAATATCTGAGTGTCTTCATATATTCATGCAACAAAATAGTTTCAATTTACGCTCAGATATAAAGGGTGTACATCCAACTTATATACAATTATTAAAAGACATTAAATAGTTATATTTTGTCGGTTTATACAAATTATTGTTTATGTATTGACATTGTCCTTTTTCTTTTTATTTTCGTTGTTGACCTGACATGTCTTATTATATTAAATACATTAGTCTCTTATGTTTCGTTCGAACTGCGATCAACATGCGTTTTTTAACTTGATTCTCTTTAGTGAATATAAATTGTAATTGATTTGATCCAATGTGTCGAGACGAATTCCTTCTATGTCTTGGAGTGAGTCATTAGTTTTTTAATGTTAATTTGTAACTTGTTGGATAGAAATATTTATAAGATAATTTTAATGTTTCGAACAGATTACAACATCAAATCTGTTAATCTGATGGTGATTTTTTCTTGGACATGAAGGGATTGATATTTTAAAATTGTATTGCTGAGGATGGTTCCAAGGTGAACTGAAACGTACTATTATTTTTTGGAATAAAGATTCTATTTTCTGGATTAAAGATTTAAGATTGTGTATTAACTACCACGCTGATTCTTATTTGACCTGTTTTTTTGGATTTTTTGTTGTTTAACACTTTATGCCAACATGTACCATAATAAAGTATAAAATACCTTGTAAACTATTGGGTTTTTTATATTTCTACCTTAATCTTTATATGCAGAATAATTAGAGGAATCGTACATAGAAAAATCATATAACTTCACTTAAAAAAGTAGAGGTAATCTTCATATTTTTTTGACGTCTCTACCTTGAAGAAAAACGACTTAATCAATATACGACCCTCTCGAAATCGTTCTACTTTTCTAAAACATTTTTTTGTATTATTATTAATTTCGGAAAAGATTGACTGTATTGATTAAAATGGACTGTATTGATTAAACTATCTTGTATGGTGCGCAAGTAAAAGTCATGACTTTAATAATAATTTATTTTAATGAAGAAAAACGATTTTTATATAAAAACAGAGAAATTCACATCATTATTCAACAAAGTGAAAATTAATTTTTGCTTTCTTCTGTTCAAAATGTAAAATAATTTCTCGGATATCAAAACAATTTTAATTACAATTTTCGAATTCAGCGGATAAAATTGAGTAAGGAAAAAGATGAACCCAACGGTTTCTGTGTGCTTATCAAATCGCCTAAAATGTACGAACTTCTTCGTTATATAAAACACTTACAATAATGTATTTGTGCAATTATAAAACGTTATAATATTGAATGAAACAGAAAGTAGTAATATTTTTCTTTATTTTTTAGTCTGGTGAATTTGTCGTGATCAAAACAGATTTGGATGAAGAAGAAGATCCTCCGTTGTGGAGAATAGATGGCAAAACGTTGCTTCAAAAATACCAGCCATTCAAATCCAATGGAAAAACTTTATACAGAAACATACCTACGGTAAAATTTAATTGAGTTTTTCATAATATATTGAATATCACTATTTTGTGTGTAATTTTTTTTACAGTATTCTGCATGGGTTTCACAAAATCGTCATATATATCGACAAGTACCAGTGAAATTCTGGCAGCAGGGCAAGACTGAAACAATTGTAGAATTTCTGAGGGATGAAATGATCATTGATAACAGGTAAATATTTATATAAAAAAATATATTTTAACAAATTGTGATAATTAATATATGAGCCTGGTGCACGGTTACGTGTGCGACTAATTAAATTTTTAAGTGACTTTATCAGGCTGAACACTATTGGATTTGTTATTTTTCACAATACTTCAAATAATATAATAAGGCTCCTTAATTTGAACAAATTAATAAATAAACAAGAAAAGACCACGAGCCAAGCTAGATCTTTAATGCTATATATTAAATTTTATATTACATATAAAAACAAATGTTTCAAATGTTTTATATTATACATATAAAAACAAAACGTTTCAACCTCTATCGGGTCATTCTCATAAATTTTTGAAATAAAAAAAATCAGGGAAATTATAAAACGAAGATGTAACAGAACGCATTGTTTCGCTCGCATAATTATAACAAGAGTTCAAATAATTAATCAAATTAATAAACAATAAGGGCTACGAGCCAAATTAGAATATACTTAAAATTTCTGAACAGACGTTTCGATCTTTTTGTCAGGCCATCCTCAGTGTTTACAATATTTAGAAAATTGAACGCAATAAAATTGAGTTTCTGTAATAATTGGATACAAATAATTTGAAAATTATAATTACATTAATATAAATGTTGGTAGTGATTCTTCGTGCATTTATGCTGTATAATCCCTTCTCTCTTATAATTTAACGTTCAAAGCATATCCAAATAATTGTGTCAAGCAGTCGCAATTTGTAGTCCATGTTAATAAATTTAGTTGAAAATATTAAGTCGATAAGAGAGTATAAAAGTATATATTCTGTCAATTATAAGAATTAATACAATAGATTATAAATTATAAAACTAATAGTGAATAAATGATCGTTATATTTATTAATTGTTCACATATATAATCGTTAACTAAGACAAGTCTCCATAAATATACTTCAAATAATATAATAAGGCTCCTCAATTTGAACAAATTAATAAATAAACAAGAAAGGGTTACGAGCCAAGCTAGATGTAGATTTAATGTTATATATTAAATGTCATACTATATATATAAAAACAAACATTTCAACCTCTATCAGGTCATTCTCATAAATCTTTTAAGTAAAAAGATCAAAGAAATTATAAAACGAAGATGTAACAGAACGCATTGTTTCACCCGCGTAATTATAACAATAAAATGTACATAAAATAATATATAATTTGTTGTCTTAAATTATCTTTATTTAGTGATTATTGGTAATGGTCCTTTTTTTTTGTTTAATATATAACTATAATTACAGATCAGTGGCCATTACAAATATGGTTGTGTTCCATTGTATGTATACACGATCAAAAAGTTTAAAGTACATAGAATTATGCACCATTTTGTTTAGAACACAAATAATTATATGCTTATATTTATACTGTCCCTTTTAGATATAATATAAATATAAGTATATAATTCTTTGTACTTAAAAATGTATATAAAATGATATATAATTCTATACATCTTTTATCATTTATATTCTATCATTCTTTACATTTTTTGATTAGTCGTATGTACACACAATCGAGTACAATTAGACTTGTGCTGGCCACTGATTTGTAACTATAGTTATATGTTAAACGAATTGGTTGAAATCGTATCATATTTTAATAATTTCGACAAATTTTATAAATTCTTATAACATTTATTTTTATTTGTTTATAGTGAGAACATTGATAAATTTATGAAAGATACCGAAAGATATCAAGATAATTTTGAAGTATACATACAGACATTAATCTCACAAGCTTTGGATTCTAATTTTCTTACTGAAATATTTCAAGAACAAGGTAAGATGAAATTAGATTGGTATTGCCTTTATAGATTATACATTATATTTTTTTATACATTATGATGAAATAATTATGTTTTTTATTATTACTTAGATGATTATTTTCTATCAAATGTTAAAACTGTCGATGAAATAACAGAAGAAAGGAAACGTCGCCTTTTATTCACAACTAAATGGAAAGCAAGCTTCGTAACAGCAATATCAACATGGCCATGTATTAATGTGCTAAAAGATTTGCCATCATCAGAATATAAAGGGAAATTCTGTGCTGGTTGTCAGCAGGCAAAAATCTATACAAGAGTTTTGCTTTATGGACAACCATATAATGGTACTACATTAGAAGGCTCGCCACCTGATCCAAGAATACCTCATGAAAAAGTATGATATGCAAATGGAACATGACAAGATGTGATAAACTCTATTGATTTATTTATTTTTCTTTTCTTAGGACTTTTTGTTATGCCGCATTTGCCAAAAGAAGGTGGCCTTGTATAATAAAGTCGCTCATCAAAAATATTTAATGTTTTTGGAATGTGCGAGAAGAGTAGCAGATAAAAAGGTAACCGATCCACATAAGGATACTACAATAATATTGAATGAATTATTAGCAGATGAAGCATGGTTGAATCAAGTAAGTTTATTTTTATTTTATTCAATTATAAGCTTAAAAACTTCATTATTGTCCCAGATAGATTTGTATGATGATTACGATATGCACAAATTAATTTACTGAAAATTTAAAACAATTTTATGATCATTTATGACATTATAAAAGCAAAAACGTTTATATTAAAGTAAATATAAAATTTAGGTTATTTGAATAATTACATTTTTTGTTATAGAATTACAAAAACATATGTATGAAAATATATCTTCACATTTATAATATTCTTTTTTCGATATCACTATATGAAATATTTACATCATACATAATTAAATGAAATACATCATATAATGATGCACATTTATAATTATCATGTGATGTCATAGAAAGCATAAATAATTTGTAAATTTGTCGATTTTGATGTACCGAATTTTGTTGAAAGGATTCGTAATCCTGATGTGATCTCATAGTAAGCATAAATGATTTGTAAATTTTTCCTTATTTTACGCCGCATGAAGTAAGACATTATAATTTTTACCAACATGAGAAAATGCGGTACTAAAAAAATTCTGAAAAAAATTTTTTTTAATTCTCACAATTATATAAAAAGAAAAAAACAATTTTTGTTTCTTACTATTTTTTCGTAAAGTTAATAGTACTTGAGTAAAAAATTATTGAAAACCAATATTCGGTGATTTTTAATAATTAATATCTTGTTAACTATTGCGAAAATTGTAAAATAGTAGAGGACTTCGTTTTACAATCAGTTTAGTCCGCTCTACTTGTTTACGCGCGTTGTCAGGAATGTCAGACACCCTATATGATCGGTATGAATGTCAAAATAAAATTCAATATATGCAAATTTAAAAGTGTTCAGACAAGCATGCGATTAGCTCAACGTTAGCGTAAGTAGGCTACCAGCCCAAGGATCTTAGGTTCAAATCCCGTCGATTCTCCATGCGTTTTCAAGAATATTTATAATTGCGTTATATAATTATAAGAATTTGTATATACATAAAAATAACTAATAAATTTAATTAATAAATATATATTCTGAAAATAAAAAACAAATTAAATTATAATTAAATTTTTTTTGTTAAAATATTCCCAGTAGACAAATGTACATATACTTTACAGCAACTTCACGTTTATCTTAGAATCATCCAATGCTTCATAGATGAGCCGATTGTGATTCGAAATATTGCAGCAACATTTAGTAAACGAAATAATCGTGATGCAAATATGATGTAAATATGAGACACTGAGAATCAGATTTTTGTTTCTCATATTTACATCATATTTGCATCATGATATTTCGTTTTCTAATTTACTAAATACGACTACAATATTTGGAATCACAATTGGCCCATCTATTAGGTGTACAACTTTGCTTCCGCCGTTTTCCTATAGATGGCTTTAGCGGTAAGTGGTGGTCGAAATAAATAGATCATAGACGTCATACAATAAACTTGGGTATCTGTCAACATAACCCCATAGAAACATTAGTCGATTTGTGTCTGCACCATAAAGTTATTCTCGATAGAAGATATCAGTTTACGAGCCAAATTCTCGTCATTTACGGGAGGTTTTAATTTTCTGCTTCAATATGAAGAAATCTGTGGCTGAGGCTCATCGAATGCTCTCAAATACTTATGGTGAGGTCGCTATTAGTGAAAGAACGTGTCATGAATGGTTTCAACGCTTCAAGAACGGTGATTTTGACGTCAAAGACCGGCATAGCGGTGGAAGAGAGGTTTTCGAAGATGCAGAATTGGAGGTATTACTTGATCAAGACTCGTGTCAAAATCAAGAAGAATTGGCACGATCATTGGGAGTGACTCAACAAGCTGTTTCAAAATGCCTCAAAGCCATGGGAATTATTCAGAAACAAGGAAATTGGGTGCCGTACGAGTTGAAGCCGAGAGATGTTGAACGGTGTTTGTTTGCTTGTGAACAGCTGCTTGAAAGGCAAAGACGGAAGGAATATCTGCATTGCATTGTGACTGGGGATGAAGATTGGGTTCATTACGATAACCCCAAGCGAAGAAAATCGTGGGGAGTTCACGACCATGCTTCCACGTCGACGGCCAAACCAAATATTTATGCTCTGTATTTGGTGGGACCAGCTCGGCATAGTGTACTATGAGCTATTAAAACCGACTGAAACAATCATAGGCGATCGGTATCGAACGCAATTAATGCGTTTGAGCCGAGCATTGAAAAACAAACGGCCGCAATACAACGAGAGACACGATAAAGTGATTTCGCAGCATGACAATGCTTGACCCCATGTTGCGAAAGTGGTCAAGACATACTTGGAAACGTTGAAATGGGAAGTCCTACCC